AAAGGGTCCTTTTATTAGTTATCTTGTTATTATTGAAGTTACAGTTCAGCCTATTAATGCTGCAGAATATTAAAAAAAAAAAGATTGAAAATGCCCCAGAGGAGTACATACGTGGCCTTGCAGAAGAAAACCTTTGTATCTCTTTTGCTGCAGGACTTCTTTGCAGTTAGCTTTCAGAACTTGATGCTCCTCCTCAAACTGTTGTGATTGCTCTGAACATCCAATAAATTATTTACAGCCTGATGGTACTAAACGACTCCATTAATGGCACCTCTGGCTCTACAGATATCCTCAAGAACTTTAAATAATTCATCGTTTATTACAGCTACTTCCCTGTAGATTATCATGAGTGGGAGCTGAGTTTATAACCCTGAGATAAAGCCTTCTCCGAGACCTCTACTCCTTAGTCATCAGATCCATAAATATTCAGGGATCAGGAGTGGTAAGAGAGGAAGCAGAGATTGACTGTTGCAAAATTAGACTCTTTCTAATTGATATGTTCATCAAGCTTTAGATTACTTTAAGTTATTGTGCATTTTAGGGATACCTTAAGGGGAAAATAATTTGAAACTAAGGGCACCATTTCAAGACTCATGATTCTTTTTCTTTTTTTAAACTATCATTTGTTTAGGAAACTAAATGGAATGAATGATTTGCCACTAGAAAAGAGTAGTGAAACAGACTTTGTTGGTGCTATGGTTGGATGTTGGGCTGCTAACCGCAAAATCAACTGTTCAAATCCAGCAGCTGCTCCATGGAAGAAAGATGAGGCTATCTGCTCCCATAAAGATTTGCAGTCTTGGAAACCCTATATAGGGTTGTTAAAAGGCAGAATCAACTTGATGGCAGTGGGTTTGGATGGTGTTTTGGTTTAACTTTTTTTAAAAAAGTATCCAAATTCTTAATCTCATGTTTTACATTTAATACTTGAAATTTGTAAATGTTTCAGTTGTTTTAGCCTTGTTGGATGGAGCCCTGTAGCACAATGGGTTAAGCATTGGGCTGCTAACCACAGTGTTCAAACCCACTAGCCACTTGGAGGGAGAAAGGTCATATGGCCTGCTCCTGTCAGGCTTTGAAGTCTGAGGATCCCTGTGGACAGCTCTATGAGTTGGAATGAACTCGGTGGCAGTAGGTTGAATTGGGTAGCCTTTTTAAAGTACTTTTTAAAGAAGCTAGGAAAGCCATGTTTATGGGGAGTAAGAATGTATCTGTGCTCTTCTATGGATATGTCAGATGACTAAAATCCAGAATGAAATTTAGGTGTAAAAGAGTGTTAATTTACTCATTTCCAGTGAAGGTTAAATAGTCAAGTTAATGTGGGATTTATGTTTATAGTTTTGGAGTGATTTTACCTTCTATTACTATAAATATGGCTTTTGAAAAGGAAAAAAAAAATTGACAGTGTTTATAACCATAGTTCTTAAGTACAATGCTAAGTTCAATAATGTTTAGTAAATGTTTGTTGCATGAATCCTTGAGATCAGATCAATTCATATCATTCTAGTTGATACTGTTGTTGTGTGCTGTTGAGTCATTTCCAACTTGGTGACCCTGGAGGACAGAGTGGAACTGCCTTGTTAGGGTTTCCAAGGCTGTAATCTTTACGAAAGCAGACAGTTACATTCTTCTTTGAGCTTTTGGTAGGTTTGAACTGCCAACCTTCTGGTTAGCAGTGAAGTGCTTACTCACTATGCACCAGGATAGTGGTGGTGGTAGTGACTGTGTGTCTTGGAATTGGTTCCGACTCATAACAATCCTGCATAAGGTTTCTGAACCTGTAAATCTTTATGGGAGCAGAAAGCCTCATCATTCTCTTATGAATAGGCTAGTAGTTTGCAGCACAACTTGTAACCCACAATGCTACTGAGACTCTTTGTAATTCTAGGTTAAGTTCTGTCGAGTTGTTTCCAACTCATAGTGACCCTGTATATGGGGTTTTCAAGGAGCGGTTGGTGAGTTTGAACCATCAACCTTGCATTTAGTAGTCCAGGGCTTATCCTACAGTGCCACTGTAGAAGTCCTTTGATAATCTAAAGAGCTATATTGATATATGTATGTTGCTAAGTGCTGTCAAGTCGGTTCCAACTCATAGTGACCCTGTATAAGGTTTCCAAAGAATGGCTGGTGAGCTTGAACCGCTGACCTTGCTGTTTAAACCAATATTACAGTTCAGTGCATTAGCCTACAATACCATACATGGACTCCATACTGATGAACACTAGTTGCTTTCTATAATAGTACTACTTTGAAAGTGTATTTCAGTTCAACATAGGTGGGGTTTTTTGGTCCCATTCAGTGTTACGGAAGGGTCCAGAGAGCCTCATTGTATGATGGCCTGACCTTTGAAGTGTTTCAAAGCTTATGTCTGAAGACAGTACTATCCAGGTATCCTTTGGGTTCCATCATAAAGCCTATAGGGTCTTCAAAGATACAAAGAAAATTGCACTTTCCCCCAATAGAGATACTGGGCAGATTTCACTGATATGGACTATAAAGTGGTTTATATCATGTGTAAGTTGAATGTAATTTTATTGTTTTCAATTTCTTTAATAATGATTTTCTTTAAAATTGATTATCTGGTCATCGTTGACATCATGGTAAAATATAGGGACTGAGGTGTTGTTGTTAAATGCCATGGAGTTGGTTCCAACTCATAGCCACCAGACATGGGGTTTCTAAGGAGTCGCTGGTGGGTTTGAACCTCGAGGCTTGTCATTAGTAGTCCAGTGCTTACCTGCAGCACCATACCAGAATTCCAGGGGATGAGATATTGTCATCTTTAAGAGTACCATCAAGAATTACACTGTCAGGGAGTTTTAGGAATTATAAATATCATTATGAATAAAATGAAAGCATTTAATCTTAAAGGGGCAAAAGTTAAATTTCAGCAAGAATGAAATGTAGGATTAGATTATTGTACTATGCTAGACTATTACACAGATGATATTACCTTGCCAGACTAGCCACCTTGGGGTGAAATATGAAATGTCTAACTCAAATTAGAAGTTTAGTTTCTACTTCAGTTGACTGTCCACAAAATAAAATAGAAATGAGTATCTTTCATCTGTACAAAATTCTATGTTGTTTAGTAGCAAGTGTGTAAATTGGATGCAAGTATGTGAGTATGAGATTTTTATCTGAGGCAAATCCATATTTTTATCTCTGATATTTTGCAACATATCCTTCCTTCCATTCATGAGTGCCCTTGAGCTGATATTATGATACCTGATGCCAGCAAGCTAATAAAGGCTTTAGAACTATTACGGAAAAGTGATAGTGTGGCCTTAGTTAGGCTGTGGTGTAAATTAAGGCTTTTAAGTGGAAGTGGCTAGGTTTTACAGATGGACAGGCATGAATCTAGCTGAGAACAGATTGTTCTTCTGTGATAGAGATATTGTTCAAACCTGCATGCATCTTGTCAACTGCCTGTGGTGGCACAGTGAGAGAACGCAATCTGTAATGTATCTCTTAGTGTGTTCCTGTTGCTAGCCATATTGTAACACGCAGAACATCTTTTGTGCAGATGGCTTGTGTGGGCTGAGTTCCACCTCAGACTTGTAAAAATGCCAGGAAGCATCAAGGTGAATTTTTAAAGCTTATTTAAATATTTAGACTCATGACTAACTTCAGTGAAGGTTCTACTATATTTAATAAACAAAATGAGATGAATTTTGAATTTACTTTTTCTGGCTCCCCTACTTATTAGCAAAGTGACCCTGGGTCAACAAATTCATGATCTCTCTTGTTCCTGTTTTCTTATCAGAAAAATGAGGATGATAAAAGGATTTGCCTAGTGAGGTGGTTGTGTGGATGTAGCCAATTAATGTGATTAAAAGGGAATGCCTGGCACTTAATAAATGTTAGCTATGGGTCGGACCCGACTCGATGGCACTTAACAACAACAACAACAACCACTACCATTACCATTAACATAATTTGGGGTGAGATGAACTTCCCTCCCCTGAAGCTAGAGGTGTTTTTTGTTATTAAAAGAAGACAACATTTCTATCAAGGATTTGGTCAACCCTTACTAATACAGAAACTCACCATCTTGACTTGTAAAATCTGCCTTCAACTGGTATTGCACTATAAGATAAGCACTGGATTGCTAACCAAAATGTGGTGGTGGTTATGTGCCTTGGAGTCGGTTCTGACTGATAGTGACCCCGTACAGGGTTTCCAAGGCTGTGATTCCTTACAGAAGCAGAAAGTCTCATCTTTCTCCTGTGGAACAGCTGGTAGTTTCGAACTGCTGACCTTGCGGTTTGCAGCCTGATTCGTAACCACTATGCTACCAGAGATGTAGGCAGTTCAAAATCATCTGCCAGTCCTAGGAAATCATATACAGGGTTGCTATGAGTTGGAACAACAACAAAGTATTATATAATCACTAAAGAATGGAAAAACTCCTTTGGAGTGATCTACAAGATACATTGTATAAATGAAAAAAGTAAGGGGCACTGCACAGAAGGGAGGTTGATTCCTCAGTTACGGTAGAATCTGCCAAGTTCTAAAAGTCATTTTTCTCTTTGTAATTAATAAATTAAAAAAAACCAAAGCAAATGGCAAAACTGTGCAAATTATTCTATCACCTGTGTAGCAGTTTACTGGTACATGCGTAAAATATCTGGAAGGCTACTCAAGGAATGACACATTTTCATTTGTTGCTCTTGTGTGTTGGGATTGGATGACTGGAGGCAAGTATGGGAGACTGGCTACTATATATATCCTTTTATACTTTTTGACTATGTTGAACCATGTGAATATATTCCCTATTTAATAAAAAAAAATAACAATTAAAAAGTAAAATAGCTATTTGGAATGGAGAGATGTTTTTGTCCTTTTTTTAATAAGCATTTCTTCTTTTTGTCTATATTACTTAAATTCACATTGGATTGGCTTTAGCATTCTTTTATTTTCCAGTTTAGGTTTGTCCCCACCGCCTTTGAGGCTACGTTTCAGCACCAAACTAAGAATGATCTTTTGTTTTCTTTTAGGGATTTAAGTCATAATCGGTTGCCTAACTGGAACATCAGCTTGGAATCACAGACATTGCAGGAAGTGTAAGTTTCTTTTATTGATTTTAAAGTTATGTTATATTCCTTGAGGTGAGGTGATTTAACGAATTATGCTACCAAGAAATTGGAGTAAAATAATATAAACGAAAAGAAATTCTTTACATTTGAGGTAATCTGCTTGAAGGGCTGCTAAGATCAGATGGTGGCATTGTGTATATATATAATATCACCTGTAAAGTTCTTCATAGGTTCCATTTATGGATTTATTTATTTATTTATTTATGCCATCTTTGTTTAAGAACAACCCACATCAGTTGTTATAAACACAACTATTTAAAGGCCTTACTGGGATTAATGAGGAGGTAAAAGAGCTGAATAGAAAATTTCAAACGGCAGCTTGAGAAGACAAGTCAAATATTATAATGACATGTGTAAATATCTGGAGTTAGAAAACCAAAAGGGAAGAAAACATTCAACATTTCTCAAGCTGACGGAACTGAAGAGAAAATTCAAGCTTCGACTTGCAACATTGAAGTATTCTATGGGCAAAATATTGGATGATACAGAAAGCATCAAAAGAAGATGGAAGGAATATAGAGAGTCACTGTATCAAAACAGTGGTTGATGTTCAACGATTTCAATAGGTAGCATATGATAAAGAGCCAGTTATATTGAAGAAAGAAGTCCAAGGTGCACTAAAGGCATCAACAAAGAACAAGGCTCTAGGAATTGATGGAATACAAATTGAAATCTTTCAACAAACACACTGTTGTGGCACTGGAGGCACTCAAACTTATCTATGCCAAGAAATGTGGAAGACAGCTACCTGTCCAACTGACTGGAAGAATATTTTTGCAGAAATCATCGAGCAGTATTATTAATATCACATGCAAGTAAAATTTTGCTAAAGATAATTCAAAAACGACTGCAACCATACATTAACAAAGAACTTCCAGAGGTTCAAGCCGGATTCAGATGAGCACATGGAACAAGGGATATCACTGTTGATATCAGATGGATCTTGTCTGAAAGCAGAGACTACCAGAAATATGTTTACATGTTGACTACGCAACGACTTTTGATTGTATGGATCACATCAAGCTATAGACAACATTGTGGAGAGTAGTGAGTATTCTGGAACACTTAATTGTGATCATAAGGAATCTGTACATGGACCAAGAGGCAGTTGTTTGAACATAACAAGGGAACACTGAATAGTTTAAAATTATGAAAGATATGCACCAGGGTTGTGTTCTTTCACCATACTTATTCAATCTGTATACTGAGCAAATAATTTAAGAAGCTGGATTACATGAAGAAAAATATGGAATCAGAATTAAAGGAAGGCTCATTAACAACCTGCGACATGCAGATGATACAACCTTGCTTACTGAAAGCAAAGAGGACTTAAAATACTTGATGAAAATCAAAGACCACTACCTTGGGTATGGGTTGCACCTCAATGTAAAGGAAACAAAAATTGTCACAACTAGACCAATAAATAACATCAAGATAAATGAAAATAGACTCAAGTTGTCAAAGACTTCATTTTGCTTGGATCAACCATCCAACCATCAACACTCAAGGAAGCAGCAGTCAAGAAATCAAACAGTGTATTGCATTAGGCAAATTTGCTGCACAAGACCTTTAAAGTGTTGAAGAGTAAAGATGCCGATTTGAAGACTAAGGTATGTCTAATCCAGACATGGTATTTTCAGTAATCTCATGTGCATGTGAAAGTTGGACAATGAATAAAGAACCCATAGAAGAATTGATACATTGTGTTATGGTATTGGAGGATAATGTTAAAAGTACCAAGGACTGTCAAAAGAGCAAGCAAATCTGTGTTGGAAAAAATACAGCCAAAGTGCTCCTTAGAAGCCAGGATGGTGAGACATCGTCTCTCGTACTTCGGACATATTATTAGGAGGGACCAGTCCCTGGAGAAGGACATTTGTGCTTGGTAAAGTGAAGAGTTAGTCAAAAGAGGAATACTCCCAACGAAATGGATTGGCATAGTGGCAGCAGCCATGGGTTTAAGTGTAGCAACGATTGTTAAGTTGATGTAGGACTAGGCGGTTTTTCATTGTGCTTAATGTCGCTTTGTGTCAGTATGACTCGATGGCACCTAACAACAACAACAGTTGAGATTAAAAGTATTTAGTGTGTATAATGTTTCCTATTGATTAAAATCTTTAATTTCTCCATAGAATACTTTTTTTTTTTTTTTTGTCTAACTTAATATGAGTCATAGGCATTTTCAAATTTGGCACCTGTCCTAAATATGTATTAAGCAGAAAACAACTCAAGAGGTACATTTCCCTTACTGAACTTTAAAATCTATTTTTCCCCCTGCCTAGGAAAATTAATTACAATGAGTTAACAGAAATTCCATATTTTGGAGAACGAACATCTAATATAACTCTACTCTCATTGTAAGTAAATAAAATTTTGGCTCTTTTACTTAAATAATGAATAGTATACTGTGGCGGTTGTTTGTTTTTTTAAGTACTCATATTGTTGATCTCAATTAGTTAATTTTTTTTTGACCTGGGGGGTGGATGGATTGCTGGCACTAGCTTCAGTACTGTCTTTGTTTTGTAGAGTACATAATGTAATCCCAGAAATCAATGCAGCAGTGCTCCAGTTCTACCCTGCTCTTGAGAGTTTAGACCTCAGCTCAAATATAATTACAGAAATCAAGACATCGTCATTTCCTCACATGCAGCTCAAATACCTGTAAGTAAAATAGAATGTAAACTAGATTTACTCTAAAATGCATGGTGAATATGAAGATATGTCTTCCATAATGGTTATAATTTATTGTGATTTTAATATGCATAGCTGAACCAACCCTAGATCTGTTTTTTGTTTTTTTTGGCTTTTGTTTTCATTTTTTATTCAAAGAGTGCACTATTTTAATAAAAGATTGATAGATATCCAGGGCAGTTTTGAGGATTTAATTGTGGATTATTTTTTCACTAAAGTTCTGGAAAGTAATAGGGGTAGTTTGTTAATGATGATGGTAATTAGCATGTGTGCCAGTCTTTTATAGTTTGCAAAATGTAATCATACGTACTGTTTCATAACAACCCAAATATAGTACTGTATTTTCTCATATAAGGCACTCATGTAAATAATACGCTCATTCATATAACATATATAGGAAACCAACCCACAAGGAGTTGGGGGGGTTGTGTGTGTTAAAAAACCCATATAATAACACACATGCTATTTGTGTGAAAATATGGTTGATGTCCTTTGGTAGATGAAGAAACAAAATGGTTAAACAGTTCGTAAAGTTGCATATAATTGGTAAGCAGTAGAGCTGGGACTTGGTCATCGACTGGACATTTTTCCTTTGGTAGAATTTTTTTGCTAAATATTTTTGTTATTGTCTTGCTTATTTCAGGAATTTGAGTAATAATAGGATAACCACATTGGAGGCCGGTTGCTTTGATAATTTATCTAGTTCCTTATTAGTGGTAAAATTAAACCGGAACAGAATTAGCATGATCCCACCCAAGATCTTCAAGCTGCCTCACCTGCAATTCTTGTGAGTAACTAAATAGAACAATTATAAGAAGATAGTTTTTCTTATAATGTCTTTTTCTTTCTAATTATTTTTTGAACAAATCAGTAAACCAATTTTCTGACTGTAAAACTATTTTTGTTAAAGGGAACTTAAAAGAAATAGAATTAAAATTGTGGAAGGGCTGACATTCCAAGGGCTTGACTCCTTAAGATCTTTGAAAATGCAGCGGAATGGAATTAGCAAACTTAAGGATGGAGCTTTTTTTGGCTTGGATAACATGGAAGAACTGTAAGTACTAGTAACTAGCACTGGGGATTATTAGGAAAGGAGTCTGATTACTTTCCAGTTCCAAACAACTTGGGAAGTTACTTTAATTATACAAAGGTACATTAGTTCACTTTTCATTTTTTTAATGTGAATTCAGTACACAGAAGCCATGGACATATAGTGTTCACCTACATTTTCCACTCCTGGGAAGTTGGTATCCTGCTTTTGGTGTATGCTGTCATCTGGTGGGAGCATGTGTAACTGTGTGAGTCTGAGGAAACTGCCCTCCAGCACCAGAGACCCCTGGGGACATATGTATCCCACTTTCTATATAAAAATCCTTATCTCCAAAGCAGTTTGTTGTTTTTTATTTTTTTTATTTTATTCAAACTGCCTTTCATTACTGAAAACCCATGGTTTCAACAAAAATTTCAAGGCAGAAAATTATTTTGGTCTTGAAAGGGCTAGAAAATATTTTGTTAAACATCTTATCTAACAAATTTGCATTCCCTTGATGTTCTGGCTGATGGAAATTATCGGAGTTTATCCAGCTCAGGTTTACCACTTTGGTTGATTTTGTAAACCTGATATTTTAGACAGTCTTAATTACCTTCTAGCACTTAATCTGAAGTAAGGTATATACATACTCGTTGAATAGAAATTGTCAGCTAACAAAGCTACATGCCTCTCTAAGCAAGACTCAATGAAGATTTAAGACTATACTTTTCATTGAAATGCTTTGTTTGAAACATATTTTCTACTCTTTAATTCTGCAGGGAACTAGAACACAATAACCTTACAGAAGTGAACAAGGGCTGGTTGTATGGCTTGCGAATGCTACAACAGCTCTATGTGAGCCAGAATGCTATTGAAAGAATCAGCCCTGATGCATGGGAGTTCTGCCAAAGACTATCTGAACTGTAAGTATTGGATCATATTTTAGTGGAGCCTGTGAGCTGAATCACTCCCAAGACCAGTAATGAAAGTCAAGTGTTTTCCCTGTTTACTAGATTTTTGTTAAAAGCTCTAAGTTTAACATATAAATAGAATACAAATTTGGAAGTTGAATCAACATACAATGGATTCCTTACCTTTCTTATTTCCTATTTTCAGTGATTTGTCCTATAACCAGTTGACTCGCCTGGATGAATCCACCTTTGTGGGTCTGAGCCTGCTGGAGAGATTGAATTTAGGGGACAACAGAGTCACTCACGTTGCTGATGGTGTATTTAGGTTTCTTTCCAATCTTCAGACACTGTAAGTGCTTTCAGCCTTCATCATCCTTCCCCCGCCTCACCTCACCTTTTTTGCTTCTTCTTCAAGTAATAAACTTAAATAATCACTGTGCAAATTTATGTGTGCTTAGTATTTTGTGGCTCTTCTGTGCTTTGCCTTGGGGCAAGATATTCTTACTGGTCTCATGTTATTAAGTACCATGCAGTCAGTTCCAACTCATAGCAACCCTGTATAGGGTTTCTGAGGAGTGGCTGATGAGTTTGAACCACTGACCTTGTGATTCAAACCAACCTTGTGGTTCAGTGTATTATCCTGCAGCATTACAAATAAATGTTGTTTCACTCTGGTCTGTAGAGACAACCCCATGTGTATCAGAGTAGAATTGTGCCCCATAGAATTATCAGTGACTGACTTTTCAGAAGTAGATTGCCAGGTTGTCTGAGATGCTTCTAGGTGCACTTGAATAGATAGCCAGACTTCTGGTTAGCAATCTAGCTTGTTAACTGTTTGCCCCACCCGGGCACTTGTTATTCCATAGTAGAGTTATTTCAGGTCTGAGTTAATCAGTTGAAAGGCATCTGTTACTCTGCTGAGTGTTATAGAATAAAACCCACCAGCTGTTCCGTGGGAGAAAAAATGAGGCTTTCTGCTCCAATGAACATTTAAAACCTTGGAAACCCTACACAGGGTCGCTATGAGTCGAATCTGTTTGATGGTAGTGAGTTTGAGTTTATAATTTGAAAGTAATTGCAGAAGTAAGCAAATGTCTAATGCCTCAGCGGTAGCAAAGGTAGAATTAGGATCACATTTTAGAAATTCTGGCTTTAGGCCAATGTTGTGTAGTAGATATATCTCTTATTCAGTTTGGGAAGTGAGTTCTGTTTATGTTGTATTGTGGTGGAGGGAGACTTGTCTTAAAAGAGTTGAGACATTGGTTGTTCCGATGTTTATTCCTTAGTAAAATTAAATGAGCTTTGTTAGCTTTTTCTTTCAGTTAAAGATAGCTAAGAAGAATGTTCTATATCCTTACTTTTAATCACACAAATTTACGTATCTTTAAATGTAAATTTAAATTTGTATCTTATGAAGCAGAGAGCTTAGTGTTTTATTTTTTTATGAGAAGGCGTAACCAAACAAAAGTAATTAAATATTTTTAGCTGGCATTTCTTCTCTTCCATCAGCACATGGTGTGGTGCAACTGCATTTTTTCTGAGAATGGAGTGGTGGATTTGAAAAGATCCATACTTTTCCTTTTAAAGAAAACATAGTAATTACTCTAACACTTGGGTATGTCATTCTTCCTTCCCAGGGGGAATGTATAATTGCTCTGGAGCTGTGAAGCACTGTATTGATATTGCTCTTTGTCAGCCATTTTAAGTCTGAGGGCCCAGGGGAAGGATTGGGTCACCCCAAGATCCCATTTGTCTGACATCAGATTTGTAAGCCACACTCACTGTGTCTTGAAACTCTCCTATTTTAGGATTATGTCTGTAATTTCTAAGTATGGTCATACAATTAGGGGCTTATTAACTAGGACGAGTAATATTCTTAGCAAAAAAACCACAAATCCTGACTAACAAAACCGAACTGCTGATGAGTCGATTCCAACTCATAGTGACCCTATACAACCTATACAGGTTGCTTAATTTGTTTAATTAGGACTAGCCTAATTCTGGAATCTCATAGCTTATGAGAATCTGTTCTTACAGGTTTCTCTTTTATGTCGTATCTTTGGTACCTAGAGCTGCTATAACAGAAATACCACAAGTGAATGACTTTTATGAAGAGAAATTTGTTTTGTCATAGTTGAGAAGGCTAGAAGGCCGAATTTGGAGTCCTGGCTCTGGGGAAAGGTCCTTGACTCCTTTCAGTATCTATAAGCTCAGCATTCCTTGGAAATCTCCGTGTGTGTTGGCATCAACTGTTCTCTGGATGTAGGAGCTTCACATTGCAGGGACCCCAGGTTCAAAGGATGCACTGCAATCCTGACTCCTCTTGCTTGGCTATAGTGTGTCCCTCTTTTCTCTGCTTACTTGTCTCTTCTTTTATATCTCAAAAGAGGTTGACTCAAGATACAACCTTATCCCATAGATTACACCCAACCTCCTTAACATCATAGAAGTGAGTGAGGAGGCACACAGGATAATTACAGCAGATCAAGTGTGATCACATCTGATCACATCACAGGGAATTATCACATCTTAATTGCTGAACCACTGAGAATACAGGCCCAGCCAAGTTGACACAAAACTTTAAACTATCACAGGTGGTCAGAGATAATCATTAAGAATCAGAATTGAATCTCCATCATAACTAGGTATGACATGAATAGTGTAACTGTTCAAATAAGGATCAGAATGAGCATGTGCACCGTGACCTAGCCATGGCAGCATGCTGCCTAATGGATGGTGTGTTGGCCAGGTTGACTAACATGATCTGTTCTTTCCATGACATGTTTTGCAGAGACTTAAGAAACAATGAAATTTCTTGGGCCATAGAAGATGCTAGTGAAGCCTTTGTTGGACTTACGAGTCTCACTAAATTGTATGTATTTGTAGTACATATATGTGTGTCTATATTTGTTAGTTCAGTTGTAACTGTGATTGGATTGGATCTGTCTAATGTGGCTGGAAGGTCAGAGCCTTTTGATCCACTCCCTTAAAGGAAGAAGCTTTGTTGTTTATCAAGTTGTTTTTTTTGATGGGGGAGGGGAGGTAGAGAGGGTGGAATGCCTTTCTATTGAAAGCATTCTATGGGCACATAGAAGCTATTCATGGAACTAGAACATCTACTTAAGTAAAAGAAATGCTCTAAAAAAGCCAGTGTTGAACTGGTTGGGTGAGGTTTATAGGTAATTTGTCTAGTAGAACAGGATTCTTTCAAATAAGATTTTAGATTACCCAGAGCTTCAACTTGTCTGAATTTCTTTAACTTGATCTTTTGCTAACTAGGGATAAAGCGGGACTATAACTCAATTTAGCATATGAAAAATAGCAGTTTATCAATGGTCATAATGGTTGTTCAGAGGCACCTCATTGAGCCCCAACATTTTAATAGAAGCTTTCATATCATGCTTTATGTTTATTTATAATAAAAGTTTATAACTTTCTTAAAAATGTACGTTAAGCTTATTTTCACCTTTTATAGGTAGATGTTTAATGAATTTAACTTTGTTTTCTGGAGAATTTTATCAGAATGGTTTGTTTCTATTTTAGAATCTTACAAGGAAACCAGATTAAATCAATTACAAAGAAAGCATTCATTGGTCTTGGATCTCTTGAACATCTGTAAGTATTTTGCATACATTTTACTCACTATATAAATAATCTTTGCTATTAGCAGAGGTTTTTGTGACCACTTAAGAGTGTTTATATAACTTAATTGTAGAAATGGTGACTGGCAATGTTTCATTTCTCTTCATTTCAGAGATTTAAACAACAATGCTATTATGTCTATCCAAGAAAATGCTTTTTCTCAGACTCACTTGAAAGAACTGTAAGTAATTTAAGTCTTTTTTTTTTTTTGTCACCAATTATATCATTATCCGTTGCTTGTTGTACTTAAAATGTGATGAATGTGACCCAAGTGTTTTCAAAAGCACACAGTTCAGGCAAGGAAAAAGAAAGCGTTAATACTCAAGTTATTTTAGTGGCTGGATGAAGTTTAAAAATAACCCGACATTCTACAAGTCCAGAAGGTGTGACACTAGAACTTTCTGTGTACCTGTGTTGGCGATACTTTCAGTTAGTAGACCTTGCAGTTCCTATGCTTTATGTGTACCTTCTGTCAGGATGTCATTACCAAATGCACTATAAAGGGTCAAGGTGGTCATATGCCACCTTTATCATGAAATGTATGGCAAGGGTCAACATGAATTCAGTTCCCTGCTCTAAATGGATCCAGACTTCATCTCCCCACATCGCTATACCTTGTTGCCAACCACTTTCTACATAAATGAACTCTATACTGCCAGTCCTTGTTGGTTCATCGCCCCTGTGGGTTTGTTAATTCTCCCTAGAACAGCTCACAAAATTCTTAAAAGACTATGACCTATATTTACAGTTACACGCTTATTATAACCTGAAAAGATACGAAGTGAAGAAATGCATCAGGCAAGTTCTGGGGAGAGTTCTTGGCATGGGGCTTCCAGGGATGTGCCTCTCCTTCTCATCAATTCTGGAAGCCTCAGAAGAGCTCCAGGGTCCAGAGTTCCTAGTCATTGGGAACTCACTGAATGTGCATGACTAGTACCTTAATACATAGTTATGATTAATTCAGTCAATGAATATGCATGACTGACTGCATCACGTCCACTCCCTTTCTGAAGTTAGTTGGCCAGATTTGGGGCCTGCGTAGCCCCTACTTGCCTGCCTATTTTAGAAAGACAAGGAACACCTTAATTGCTTAGGCTGTTTTCTGAAAACAGATACAAAAAGCCAAATATAATTCTTAGTCCCACATTATACTATTTGTTTACTTTTCCTTCTGGTATCTCTTTGGGCTATTAGAAACGTGTTTCCCAAAACCCGCTCCTATGGGTTACAATTAAGATACAGTTTTATTTTTTAGTTTCTTAAGTATAATGATTAAAGATGATGTCTCTAGCCCTTGTTCAAATTATTGCAATGTCCCCAAACTGTCAAATAGTTGTATTAGTCTGTAGCAGTTTGGGAATTTTAAAAATTGATCCTTTATCACAGATGGTGTAAGAAGCACTGGAAAAGTGTAAATTCAAATTGTGTGCTCCATTCCTAACAACTTTGTAGTATTGGACAAATTGTTTAGTCTAAGACTCAGTTTGCCTTCTCAAAATGGAGATAATACTTAGCAACTACCTCACAGTGTTGTGAGGATAAATTGAGATTATTTATTTATTCAAGAAATATTGATTGAGCGTCTATAATGTAAGATACTATTGTAGATGCTAAAAACACAACGTACAACATTAAATAAGACAAAGTCTCTGTCTTCAGAGTGTACTGAAAAAAATTCTCATCAGGAAGCTAAGTAATAAACCAGCAGATAATACACTATCCCATCTGAAGAAACATGAGGCTGGGTCAAAGGTCGGGAGAGTGACAGGGCTGCTATTTTAGATAAGGTAGTCACGGGAGCCTCTCCTGAAGGCGAAAGCATTTGAGGCAAGATTTAATACCAGGTACAAACCAGGTGAATATGGGTGAAAGGCATTCCAGGCAGAGGAAAAACAAAGGAAAAGGCCCGGGGGTAAGAGCTTACTTGTGCTTGTGGAACAAGAAAGGCACTGGTGTGACTGGAACATAGCGCTTGACAAAGAGTGGTAGGAGAGGTCAATATATAGTAGTAGAGTTTGAATCCTTGACTCTTCTGTTAAATAGCGTGTGCTTAAGAAAATGTGCATCAGATCATACCATTCTTCCGGTTCATAGCCTTTCATTTGCCTCCCATTACACTTGGGATAAAAGAAACTAAGTTCTTCCTTGAGTTTATAAGGTGCCTGCATGCTTGACCATCCTCCCTGCCTAGCTCCCTGGCCTCATTCCTGTCATTCTGAACTCTGGCCTTCTTGCTTTTTCCTTTAGCATGCTAAAGTCTTTCTGCTTTAAGGCCTTGATGCTGCAATTGCTCTGCCTGGGACACTCTTAATTCAGGCCTTCATGTGGTTTACTCTCTCAGAAATGACTGTCCACCTGTCATTTCTCCACAGAGACTTTCCCTGACCAATTCAATCTAGCAGCTCTGCTGTCCCCCTTTGTCTTGGCTAATTATATTTTTCTTTACAGTGTGTGTCACTTTATGACATTGTGTTTGTTATCGCTTACCTCTCAGTACATAAGCTCTATGAGGACTGTATCCCCATGGCCTAGAATGGCACCTGGCATATAGTAACTCTTATATAGTTCTCTGGAGTCCTGGTGTGGTGCTGTGGGTTAATGCGCCAGACTGAAAGGTCATTTGAACTGCAAGGTCGGCGGTTCAAATCCACCAGCTGCTCCTCGGAAACCCTATACAGGGTCGCTATGGGTCGGAACCAACTCGACGGCACTTCACAACAACAACACAACAAATATAGTTCTTTACGAGTTTGCGAGAAAAACACAAGAATTCTTTTGTTTTTTTCTATTTTTTATTGTGATAGTTTACATGGGAGAACATTAGCTTTACATTCATCCTATCATATATCATTTCACTGGCATAGTTACAATCCCCTCTATGCATCATCAACCAACCAAAGGGTATATACCCAGCAAGCCTGCCCCCCAGTCATCAGGACACAGCCCCTCTCCCTCTCTGGATCTCGAGTCCCCAGCTGCTCCATCTCTCTACGTCATCATCTCTACCTCCATCTTTGGCGTCACTGTATCTCTGGGTAGGGTCCCGTACTCTGCTCTTCTCTCTTGATGGTCCCAGGGACCTCTGCTCCTGGACTGCAAAGTCAGTCACTCCCCTCCTTGTTACAAAATGTTTACCTTTACATTTCCAGCCCTCACAATCAGTCCTGATAGCAATTATTCACTATTGTATCACAAGAGACCTATCCCCATCTCCTTTCATCAGCCCTGCCCAGACAGATTGGATACTGCTCAGTGGAGAGTGTACCTTCCTCCGTGCCCTCTGGATCTAAGCTCCCTCTTGAAAGCTTTTAAGCCAGTCACTTGTTGCCTTTGTAGCCTCCCCATTTTGGGTAGCCAATGTCCAAGTTGCCCATTTCTGTCTGCTCTGGAACACAAGTATTCTTACATACAAAAATTAACTTTTGGCTTGTCTTAATTAAAATTATTCTTGTTAAAATATAGCTTTTGAGAAACCTGTAAAGATTGTTTAAGACTTTTTTTGAAGTAAAATTTTAGATACTTCATATTAAACTTTAAAACAAGGGGAGGAGTTTGATGATACATACAAAGCAAGCCATAATGCTCTTAAAGTAATTTGTTTATAGTGCTTCCAGTGGATGGGGCAGTTAATGGATCATTAAGAGAAAACCCCAGTTTTTTCAGGTATGTTTCAAAGGCCTAGTTGTGGTGTAGCACTGTTGGAATAAGCACTGGTTTGCTAACCACAAACTAACTGCAAGGTTGGTGGTCCAAACTCACCAGCCGCTCCTTAGAATCGTCATACAGTTACTGTGGGTTGGAACTGACTCAATGGCATTTAACAACAGCATTCTAAACCACAGTACTTTTTCAGTCGTTCTTAATTGAAGTTGCAGTACATGTTGTCATAAGGCTGAAGTGCATTCAATCTTGATGAAATAATTTGAAAATAATGAGATCTTCTCCAAAGTAATACGTTGGATTCACCAATTGTTAACGTTTTGCCAAATTTGCTGTTATGTTTTTCCCCTTCCTTTACTTCTTCCTTCCTTCTTCCCTCCCTTTGTACACATACAAGGGTGCTTCAAAAAGTTCATGGAAAGAGTCCATTATCTTTTAATTCCATTTTTCCATGAACTTTTTGAAGCTCCTTCTTACATTAACATATGTGTGTTGTATTTACATACTGTTTTTTGCTGAACCATTTGAAGGTGAATTGCAGACATCATGACACTTTAATCACTAAACATCTCAGTTTGTTTTTACTTAGAACAAGGATATTTTCCTGCTTAACCACACCATCATTATTAAACCTAAAGGAATTAACATTGCTAAAATAATATTATTTTCTAATATGAAGTACATATTAGGAAGTGTCCTTTGTAGCTGCTTTTATCCCCCTAATCTAGGATCCTGTCAAGGTGTACTCATTACATATGGTGGAAGTGATTCTTTGGTCGATCATGTAAAACAAATGTCTTGTCCTTGCCTCCTCCTCTTTAGTGTTTTTCATGACATTGACACATTGAAGGATTGAAACTGACAAATGAATTTCTTTTCCTTGGTTAAATTCTGAAACGTTTTTGGCGATAAAAAATGCTTTGGTGTATTTGTTGTTATTGAGTGCCATCAAATCAATTCTGACTCATAGTGAACCTGTATAGAGTTTCCGAGGAGTGGCTGGTGGGTTTGAACCACTGACCTTGCAGGTCAAGCTGACCTTGTGTCCCAGTGATTATCCTATCATGCCACTAGGTGTATATAGTGAGCTGTTAATGCTGACAAAACTTGGACTGAAGAGTGACACCAGGGGCACTGCTTTTCTCTGTGTTTCTGCAGGATTCTGAACACAAGCAGTTTGCTGTGTGACTGCCACATGAAGTGGTTCCTCCAGTGGCTGGTGGATAATAACTTTCAGCATGCTGTGAACGTGAGCTGCGCACACCCTGAATGGCTAGCAGGGCAAAGCATCCTGCATGTGGATCTGAAAGATTTCGTCTGCGGTTTGTATTTTCATTTAAATTTTTTATATAGTACATACTTACTATTTTGGCGGCAGAATTTAAAAAAATACAAAGTAGGCCTGAATATTTTCTAACTAGCAACCTTTGTCTCTATCACCATCTCCAGCTTGTGTTTCAATGTATTAGCATTAGCATTTTAGTTATAATAATATATTTAATTTTTTATTCTGCTCTTTGACTTAATACATCTTAATTTTTTTTTTCTCTGTGCATTCTTGAACTATCATGTTTAATGGCAGTTTAATAACATCTTTATGAGTGTAGGCCTGTTTCTTTTAGGGGGGATTGTGAGCCTTAGTATAAATATTCAGTATAGTAAGATTATTGAATCCAAAAACCATGAATATTTTTTAAAACATGAATCTTTTTAGTAGATCTTGAAAAGTGCTGCCAGATACTTTCCGATAAGATTTGTTGTTAAGTGCCGTCAAGTCAATTCCGACTCATAGTGACCCTATGAGTTTAGGGCTTCTGAGGAGCAGCTGGTGGGTTTGAACTGCCGACTTTGCGGTTCGCAGTCCAGTGCTGATCCTACAGCCCCACACAGGGGATAGCACCAGTTTATGTTGCTGTCAGCAGTGCATGAATAGATCGATGTCATGTATTTCAGGGTTAGGATGCAGATTCTGAAGATTACAGTGACAGGATTTTTGTGGGGTGATGGGGAGTGATAGACAACTTTAGGTATACTTACAATTTAGATATACATCTATATTGTTCTTTCTCATTTTAGAAATTTTTCTTTTATGCTTAAATTTCCTTTAAACTTACATAGTGGCACTTACAGATCAATATGTGTTAAAGGTACATGGGACACTTGAAAGTTCAGGCCCACAAAATACTTGTTATGCTGTTTTTATAAATTTTATAGGAAAAAATCAGGATCCAATGAAGATCAAATAATGTTTATATTGCCATGAGTTTCTTTCTAACTTGACTTGGTTTTTAATGTAAACATACTAGATATTTCCCCCATTTTTCCAGTGGTCACTTTTATAGCACAGTGAAAGGTTTTCTGAGGAAGATGTTGGATAAGAATTCATATCCGTGTTTTTCTGCATCAGTTCACTTATCATTGATGAGTCTGTAGTTTATTAGCAAGTCCTAAGACAATTGACAGTTTGAACATCTGACATGTTTGGGAATTTGCAAGTATTTTAGGTGAAAGCTGTATGCATAGTACTTTCAAATCATTTGTTTTAGTCACAGGTGATGGTGGTGGTGTGCCATTTCAGTCAGTTTCAACTTACAGTGACCTTGTATAGGGTTTCCAAGGCTGTAAATCTTTGTGGGAGCAGTAAGCTTCATCTTGGAGTGGCTAGTAGGTTTGAACTGCTAACACTTCAGTTAGCAGCCTAATTTGTAACCCACATATTGTCAAGAGGGACCAGTTTCTGGAGCAGGTGGAGGTAAGGTTAGGTGGAAGGTCAGAGAAAAAAAGGAAGACCACCTGCGAGATGGATTGGCAAAGTGGCAATCAAAGTGGGCTCAAGCATGGCAATAATTGTGAGGTTGACCCAGGATCATGATGGCACTTAACAACAACAGATGTCACCAGGGCTCCTTAGTAATAGGCATTCCCTGTGAAATACAGTAAACTCATAATCTCTGTTTTCTATGTTGGCACAGAAAGGATAATAGTTACTATGTACATGTTTATTTTTCATACATGTATATATGTGGGTGGTGGGATTTAAAACTTTCTCAAAATTCTAATATGAGATTTCCCTTTTCCCCCTAGTAACTGGTAATGTCTAAGAAGTACATCTAAGTACACCAGTGACAGTAATGGATAATGGAAAGAGTGCTGGACTCTGAAGTCAGGAAGCTGGGCTCCAGTCCAGGCTCTATGACTGGCTTGTCCTTGAACAAGTCATTTGACCCTTCTGGACTTCACATTCCTCATCTTTAAATAAGGGAATTGAACTCTAGCGGCATAGTCTCTTTCACCTTAGTCTGTCACTTTGTAAATGGACCACACAATTTTACAGTGTTTGTTCTAAAATTGAGTCTTTAGAAGCAAAAATAAGTTACTGACTTAGCCATTGCTTTGTTTCCTCAGATGATTTTCTGAAGCCGCAGATAAGGACACATCCCGAAACCACAGTTGCTCTTAGAGACATGAATGTGACTCTGACATGCACCGCAGTGAGCAGCAGTGACTCCCCAATATCCACTCTGTGGCGCAAAGACAATGAAATCTTATATGATGTGGATATTGAGAATTTTGTTCGTTACCAACAGCAAACTGGAGAAGCTCTAGAGTATACTAGTGTCTTACATCTTTCCAATGTGAATTTCACAGATGAAGGAAAATATCAGTGTATTGTGACTAATCATTTCGGTTCCAATTATTCTCAGAAAGCGAAACTGACCGTGAATGGTAAGGAACTATGCTTCTTTATATGTTTGTAAAATTTAGAAGGATTTTTCATGTTTAATATCTTGAGCCATATACTCAAGAAGATTAGGCTACATCTAAAACTTTGGGGAGTGAGGACTTTACTATTTTTGTGTTTGTTGTTGTTGTTAAGTGCCGTTGAGTTGGTTCCGACCCATAGCGACCCTGTACAGGGTTTCCGAAGGTGTAAATCTTTACAGGAGTAGAAAGCCTCATCTTTCTCCCGCAGAGCTGCTGGTAGTTTCGAACCGCTGACCTTAAGGTTTGCAGCCCGATTCATAACCACTACGCTACCAGAGCTCCTAGAACTGCTCTATAAGGCTTTTCTTAGCTTCTGGTGTGGTGCTGTGGGTCAACACTGGACTGCCAGTTGGCAGTTTGAACCCACCAGCAGCTTCTTGGAAACCCTGTCTGTACAGGGTAGCTATGAGTTGGAATCAACTCAACGGCACTTAACAATAGGAACAACAATCTTTACAGAGGACTCCTGGTGTGGCACTGTAAGGATAAGCACTGGACTGCTAACTGCAAAGTCAGTGGTTCAAACCTACCAGCCACCCCTTGGAAATCCCATACAGGGCCTATATGAATAGATGGCACTTAACAACAACAATCTTTGCAAAGGAGTCCTGGTGGCAGTGGGTTGTGCGTTGGGCTATTAACTGCATGGTCCATGGTTCAAACGTACCAGTCACTCCATGGGAGAAAGATGAGGCTTTCTGCTCCTGCAGAGATGTACAGTCTAAGAAACCCTATGTAGGGTTGCTATGAGTTGAAACCAACTTGACAGCACACAACACAACAACCATCTTTACAGAAGCAGATTGATAGATCTTTCTCCCTGGAAGCTGATGGGTGAGTTAGAACCACCAACCTTTTGGCTCAAGGCCAATCATTTACCCATTGTGTGTGTGTATGTGTATCTATCTACATAAAAGTCTAAATACACACAGACACACACCCTCTACCTCTCGGTGGTCTTTCTTGTCGCAGAGATGCCATCTTTTCTGAAAACCCCAATGGATTTAACTATTCGCACTGGTGCCATGGCCAGATTGGAATGTGCTGCAGAAGGACACCCCGCACCTCAGATTTCCTGGCAGAAAGATGGTGGTACTGACTTCCCTGCGGCTCGAGAAAGGCGCATGCACGTCATGCCCGAGGATGATGTCTTCTTCATTGCAAACGTGAAAATAGAAGACATGGGAATCTATAGCTGTATGGCACAAAACATAGCGGGAGGCCTCTCAGCAAATGCCTCACTAACAGTGTTAGGTAAGTTTACTGTACTGTGGGCCCCTGCTTTTTTTAAAAAATGTTTTCTTGTGGATTATGTGATAGTTTACGTGGGAGAACATTCGCTTTACATTCATCCTATCGTATATCGTTTCATTGCCATGGTTATTATAATCCCCTCCATGTATCATCAACCAACCAAAGGCTATACACTGCAAGCCTGCTCTCTGGGCGTCAGCACACAGCCCTTCTCCCTCTCTGGGTCTAGAGTCCCCAGCTGCTCCATCTCTCCATGTCATCGTCTCTACCTCCATCTCTGGCGCCACTGTTTCTCTGGGTAGGGTCTTGCACACTCCGCTCTTCTCCCTTGATGGTCCCAGGGACCTCCACTCCTGGATTGCAAAGTCAATCACTCCCCTCCTTTTGCTACAAAACGTCCACCATTATATTTCCAACCCTCACAGTCAGTCCTGATAACTATTATTCACTATTGTACCCCAAGGGACCTATCCTCATCTCCTTTTATTAGCCCCCCCAGACAGATTGGATACTACTCAGTGGAGATTCTACGTTCGTCTCTGCCCTCTAGATCTAAGTTCCTTCCTGAAAGCTAGTAAGCTAATCACTTCTTGCCTTTGTAGCTCCCCCATTTTGGGTAGCCAATGTCCAAGTTACCCATCCCTGTCTACTCTGTGTATGGAGGGGGTGGGAATGATCCTCGCTGTAAAGATTTGTTCCCTCTTTTGGTGTAGGTCAAGTTCATCAAATTGTATCAGATTACTCTTTTTTTTCTTCTTCTTTCTTCTAGTTGAGCTCTGATCATCCAGTCATTGAAGCCAGGTTTAGTGGGTATTATCTGTGAGTGTGGGTGTTCTTGTGCATATGCCCTCTCTTCTTATCAGCTGGATGCTTCGCTCTCCACTCTAGTCCTCTGTGGCTATGTCATTGACTTTGGGCCCAAAAGACCCCAGGTCTTGCCACAGTGCTGGCCAACCAGGTCTCCACCCGGCTTCATAGGAGTCTATTGTACGTTGTAGGGCTTAACTAACCCTGTTTTTACTTCACTTCTCCTGCTTTTTTTTTTTTTAGCACTTTTAAAATTTGGGATCTTATCTTTATTATTATGGGCAAGAAAAGTTTAAACTTGAGTCTTCAGAGTTTTCTTCAGACAGAGAGGCCAAGAGTTTGTGATTCTTACATCTTTTTAACAGTTTTCAATCCCAGGGTATTAGTGTTTCAGATAACCAGGGTATTAGTGTTTCAGATAACCAAAGTGTAGGAAAACACTGAGGGAAGAATTAGGGGTCTTTGTCAAATTTAAATCCCCTTATTAATTTATCTTCTTAAATTTCCCTCTGTATGGTTTCTACTTTAGATATGTTTTTTAGCTTCTATTGACTGAGTTTGCACTAAGAGTTTCACTCTTTTTCTTTGGGAGTTATTTTTCTTAAAAATATTCCAGCCTGTTAAGACTGATTTCCAGAGCATTTGAGACAAAAGAACTGATTTCCCACCTTCCCACCCCTTGTTGTTGTTAAGTGCCGTCGAGTCGGTTCTGACTCATAGCGACCCTGTACAGGGTTTCCGAGGGTGTAAATCCTTACGGGAGTAGAAAGCCTCATCTTTCTCCCGCGGAGGGGCTGGTAGTTTCGAACTGCTGACCTTAAGGTTCACAGCCCAATTCGTAACCACTACGCTACCAGAGCTCCTTTCCCACCCCTAGTTTATTTTATTTTTTAAATTTTAATAAAAAAATAATGATTTGTTTTCCTGGTTATGTTCCCTCTTTTCCTTCCAGCCTACTCCTCTTAATCTATGCTATCATGAAATGTCTTTTCCCTGAAACTTCTCCTGACTTGCCTGTTTTTTCTTATGGAAATACTGTTCCTCTTGGAAATCAAATTCAAGGCAAACTCCATGTTTCAATTCCTTATTTCTCTAGATGGTTGGGTTTTCTTTATTTGTGTTGTTTACTTTTGTAATCAGAAAAATACATTGTTTATTTGAAAATGTTATATAAAAAAGAGAGAAACACTGTTAAAGATTTGGCATATTTATATGGACTTCTAAAATTCATTTTTATATGGGTTATATATACCTACTTTTTTCCTCTTACTAGTAAAGTAGTATATCATAAGGCTTACTGCCATTAAAAAAATCTTCATACAACATCCTGTGTCTATACTGTAATCATTTTTCTATTAGATGATTATAATAAAAAGTTTTAATTATAGCATTAATTTTATAATAAACTTGTTTGTGTATAAATTTTTAATTTTTTGCCTAGGTTTATCGTCCCAAGGTAGAATTATTGAGACAAGATTGAAGACTTTTGAGGCTTTTCTTTGTTTTGCAACATTAACTTTTACCCCGCCTTCCCCTAATAACTATGTGACAGTGCTCTTATTAACGTAATTCAGTAGGATTTGGGGAATAAAATTACATAACTTGATTGTTTTCAACATCTTCCTGCTAGAGACACCCTCATTTATTAGACCGTTGGAGGACAAGACAGTAACCCGAGGTGAGACTGCAGTATTACAGTGCATCGCTGGAGGGAGTCCTGCCCCTCGCCTCAACTGGACCAAAGACGATGGACCACTGCTGGTGACAGAACGGCACTTCTTCGCTGCCGCCAACCAGCTTCTCATCATTGTAGATGCTGGGCTGGAAGATGCTGGGAAATACACGTGCATTATGTCTAACACCCTAGGGACAGAACGTGGTCACATTTACCTAAATGTCATTACATCCCCCAATTGTGACTCTTCCCAGAGTAGCATTGGCCATGACGATGATGACTGGACTACTATCGGCATTGTCATCATTGTTGTGGTTTGCTGTGTTGTGGGCACCTCTCTAATCTGGGTCATTGTGATTTACCACATGAGAAGGAAGAATGAAGATTATAGTATCACAAACACAGGTGAGTGGAAATCAGATGACACGATTCTTGTCATTTAGTCAGAAGTGCTGTATAGAATTTTTTATAAAATGTAAAAAAAGTAGAGTTTGTAAACCCTTCCAAAAAACATTCCTCTTAGCAACATATCCTGGGTTTCTTGAATGCCTACTGCTTGATTCCATCCTAATTTTACTTCAAGAAAGAATAGGCTATCATGATATACAAATCAGTTTATTATACCGCCCACCCTGCAATCCTGGGAGAGAAGAGGTCAAGCCAGGTAGATTATGGAAGTGTGGCTCTGGATAAGATTTCAGTCTTTAAACTTTATTTCTTTGGTAATGCTTTTTAAAGTGAAACGTTGAAGAGAATTCTAGTGAGAAATTATTTTAGGGGAAGTACTAACTTTTTGTCCTGGCCAGAATTACCCAAATAGAACATACTTGCAAAATAGTGTTTTACCTAACTGTTTGAGAGTTACAGATGTCTCTTTTACAGAAGAGCTTAATCTGCCTGCAGACATTCCCAGCTATTTGTCTTCCCAAGGAACACTATCTGAGCCACAGGAAGGCTACAGCAACTCTGAGGCAGGCAGTCATCAGCAACTTATGCCTCCTGCCAATGGATATACACACAAAGGCACTGATGGTAATGATTCTTGCTTGTATATGGTTATAATTTCAGCCATTCCTATTGCATTTATATTTTAGTGGCTAGTTTTCCTCATTAACCTGAAGTAATATTTTAAAGTAAGTTATTCAGTGGAAGCATTTGGCTCCTTGCAAAATAGAATGAAAACTAACTGGAGTTTTAACCGAGAGAAAAACTACCTGATGCAACAAAGAAACAAACTGTCCGTAAAACAAGGGATTGAAGTACAAGGAGAGGTTCTCCCAACCCATGGTGGTATTATAGGAAAAGGAGGCACTAGAAGCTTTCTCCAAGTGTCTTTCCTTTGAGCCATGGGCATCCTTCACACTGTATCCAAGGGAGGCCACTCTCTCCTGCTGACAGGAGTAAAGTTTGAAGGACAGTGATGGTTCTCAGAATATACTAGAGAACATCAGAGATGTAAAATGCTTCCTAGTAATATGAACCTGACTTCTCAGCATTCACCTTGCTGTCCTCTCCACCTTTCCCACAGTGGATGACATAACAGGGAAATGAATTAAGGGTTGTTGTTGTGTGCCATGAAGTCAGTTCCGACTCATAGCAACCCTGCATAGGGTTTCCGAGGCTGTAAATCTTTCTCCTATGAAACAGCTGGTAGTTTCCAACTGCTGACCGTGAGGTTAGTAGCCTGATTTGTAACCACTACGCTACCAGAGCTCCTTGAATTAAGGGTTAGGATAATTGAATTTATGTCCTAGTTCTTCCTATTTTCAGCTATGTGACCCTGAATAATCTTCTTAAGATCTGAGCTATAGTTTTGTCATTTTTGAAACAAGTAAACAATACTTCATAGAGTATTTATTTCACTTAAGATTTTTATAGAGTCTCTCAACACATCTGTGTCATACACTGTCCGTAGTTCATTTCTTCAGTGATTTTTAGGCTGGGAACCAATTAAAACTTCTCTTTCTAACTGATAAATTTGATTTTTATATTGGCTTTTCATGGTAAGGGGATATTTCTAGATTTTTAAAGAATAATTAACGTGTCTCGATGGTTTCGAGAAAACCTAACAGTTGTCCAAGAGAGCTCATGATTACACCTCTACTTTTATCAAACACACATTATTCAGGCAGGATTCTTGGCGTCAGAGACTTTCTCTCAGGGTCCTTATAGTGACTGGTGTGGTTTAACCTCTTGATCTATGAAAATTATGTGGGCTTTTGTGAAGTGAAGTTGTTGCAGCTCCTTGTTCTCTTGTGTTAGTTTGCACAAGCCAAACATACGGCCTGAGCACAGCACCAGCCTTATCCTGTTTTCCTTGATTTGAGCATGACCTTACCCAGCCATGATGAGATGGTTTAATGCAGTCTGTAAGACCATGGGCTTCGTAGCCAGTGTCTGGGTGCAGATTGTAGCTACCTGCTCTAGAAATACAACTTTGAGCAATATATGTAATTTCTCTGTGTCATAATTACCCCACTTGTAAAATGAGGATAATAATAGTACCCACTCCATAAAGGTATTGTAAGAATTAAATGAACTAATTCAGAGAAAGACCTTGAAACTTCACCTGGTTTAAAGTAAGCAGTATGATGATGATGACAACTAATAAAGAAAGTTGATGGTTGGCAAAGCTAATTCCTTAACTGAAAGATGTTGGGATTCTTTCTCATGTTGTCATTAGGTGGCACTAGTACCCGGGTGATCTGCTCAGATTGTTACGATAATGCCAACATCTACTCCAGGACTCGAGAATACTGTCCATATGCCTATATTGCTGAGGAGGATGTTCTGGATCAGACATTGTCCAGCCTCATGGTCCAGATGCCCAAAGAGACATATTTAACACATCCCCCGAAAGATGCCACTACCTTGGAAAGCCTGGTAGCACCAGCAGATAGAGAGATGTCTGCCTTTCCCACCAACCACGAGAGGATAAATGAGAAGAAACTGCCCTCCATGCAGCTGAGTAGTGGTAAGAGGTGCAGTGGGCTTTGTTTGGTTTGTATTGTCTTCTCCTCTGTCACCTAACAGACTTGCTCTCTGTCATATAGCGAGCATTCATATGGCAGGAAGCAAAGCACAGTGGTCCGAATTGGCGACATTAACTAGAGTCTGAGGTTTTTAGATAATAGAATTCTAAAGAAGTTTGCATCTGAAGGATCAAAAGAGCTTTTTGGATAGTGAATAAGGATGTAGTGAATCAGTCTACTTATAATAAGACCTGAATCTGAGTGATCATCAAAACCTGAGAAACACTATTCTAGCTTTATTATTATTATTGGTTAAATTTCTGAGTGCTTACTTTCAGAGTATTTGTGTTTTTTCCCAAAATGCATCCCCATGAGGTTAATACAGCTTTCAGTTGGTGAGCTCTGGAAAAAATCTCACCACTGCATTAAATAAGGAGAATGAGAAATGGATAATTTTGTAACCAAAGTACAGATGCTCTGATTGTTAAGATTTTAAATGTAATTTTTGGTTATTTTGTTGTTAGAATTGTTGCCAAAGTAGAAGTTGGAAGGCACTGTAGGATAAGCTCTGGACTGCACAGTCAACAGTTCAAACCTACCAGCCGCTCCTCATAAACCCTATACAGAGTCTATGAATTGGAACAACGATCGCTTGCTACCATAGAGCTGAGTGTGACTGTAGCAATCCTATAGGACACAGTAGAACTGCTCCTTAGGGTTCCTGAGACTGTAAATCTTTATAGAAGCAGACAGTCTCATTGTTCTTCCGTGGAATGACTAGTGGGTTTAAACCACTGGCCTTGTACTTAGCAGCCCAGAGCTTAACCCACTGTACCACGAGGGCTCCTAAAAGATATAATGACTGCATTAAATCATTGATTTCTATGAATGTATGATGGAACTAAGTAGACCTGGTGAAGTACTGATTAAGCACTCAGCTGCTAACTGAAAGGTCACTGGTTCAAATCCACCAGTCACTCCATTGGAGACAGATGTGATGGTTAGCTTCTGTAAAGATTTACAGCCTGGAAACCCTGTTTATTGTTAAGTGCCATCGAGTCAGTTCTGACTTATAGCAATCCTGTATAGGGTTTCCAAGGAGTGCCTAGTGGTTTTGAGCCAGCAGCCTTTTGGTTAGCAGTCTAGTGTTTATCCTACAGTGCCACATCAGGCTCTCTTGGGAACCCTAGAAAGCATGTCTACTCCATCCTAAAGGGAAATCAGCTCAACAGCAATAGGCTGATGATGCAGGTTTCCATTGTATGATATTGATGTCATCTGATACCAGTTTTTCATTTGAGTGATTATGGTCATTTCTTGAATCGTCTCTAGTGTGTTTCCATGTGCCAATGGAGTTTTGTGCTTAAATTTCTGTAGCAGCAGAATCACTGTAATGTAACTGGTACAAGTAAATGACATATAGCATAGTCTCAAAATAATTGGTTAAATGTGTTGAGTAGAAGGATTTGAAAGAGAATGGTTCCAGTTTTCGTTTTGTTATTTCATTTGTAGCTAAGAAGATGGCAAGTGGTCACTTAATCTTAATGTCCTTATTCATGACTACTGGACATACTTCTTTAAAAATTTGGTTAAAAAATTAAATCTTAGAAAATTAATTGCAAACTTTCAGTTGTCACTGATAATTCTTGTCTTTGATCCTCAGAAACATTGCAGCAGCCCTTGTGGAACGTAAACAAAGACCTAAGCCTGCCTCATCCTCCCATCTCTCAGCAGCCAATCCTCGAGTCGTCACAACTCCTCCAAAATGAGGGCCTGGAAGCGAGGGACCCAGACTGTCCCACTTCCCCGAGACCCTGCCACAGGGTACATGACCTTGCTTTTGATTTTAGTAGGACTCAGAACATTGCAGACAGTAGTGAGGGCACATGAAACGGTAGTGAGGGCACATGACGGATGAAATACGGGCAGAGACTCAAATCAGTTAATTTTGCATTTACTACCTCAGCGTTCAGAAGAAACCCCAAAGTCAACATTTGCTTTACTCTTTGTTTACAATTACATCTGATCACACCAAAGTAGGCCAGGGACTTGGTTGGGTTTATACCTGGTGAAGAAAGTGGAACAGCTTTCTTTTTGGTTTTAGCTTGCCAAAAGGGTACGGCACTGCCAGAGGAAGATATGAGGCAAAAATGTTTCTGTGGTATGTGCCCAGATGTGCATGGCCTGTCAGAAAGAGTCCCATTGCTGCTTGACATGCTGGATATTGTCTCAATCCTGAGTGATCCTGGGGGGGAAAAAAAATCACTGTTCTACTTTGTCTTCCAAGGAACCAAAATGACTGGAGCCATCTGGGGAGTGTGCCTGGGATTCTTCAGTGGTTTCAAACATATATGTGGTTGAGACTGGGGCTTTGATATTCAAAGTCTTTGCCAAGAATTCTAGAATAGACCAACTGGTACCAGGTCGTGGGGTTTTGTATCCTTGTGATTATTTGTTTTTTGTTTTTGTCCCTACTGCGCAGGGATCTCATTGTAAATATATTTGCATTTATAGATAATTTTTGTATTCATTGACTATATGTATTGTCTGTAATGTAAATATTTTTTGATATGCCAGAAGTATATATAATATCCAGTTATATTATTGACAGCAACTTATTTGATCATGGACAGATTTTATATAACTTGGTTTGGTGAGATCTAAAGATTTTGTTTAAAATTCTGAAAACTTACTTGTTAGTGTATGTACAGGAGCAAGGTACCCAGTGATTGTGTACACACAAACACAGTCTTGGTGTAATTAACCACTTTCTTCATTTGTAAAGGTTCATACAGCTAATCATTTGCCATCTGTGTACAAAAGTCAGCTGATACTACATTACCAGTGTGACCAAGCATGTTCTTTATAAAGGCCTGCAGTCCTGGCACAGCTATGTGCAGATAGATTGGGGAAAATCTTTCAACCAAGTTATTAGTTGGCAAGAAAACCAAAGACTGCTTCTTTTATGTTTGTTTCCTTTTAGTATTTTTTTTTACCAAGGCACAATATATCTAAGGTGTATAATTAAGAAGAGTGCTTTTGAGGTAAAAAAATGTTGGAGATACAGAAATGCCTATAATATGAGATTTATAATAAAAATCTTTGTTTTATACAGTGATGATCTAAGCCAAAATTTTTGTTTTGAATTTCTAATACAAAAAGTCTTTATGTCAACAAAGGATGTAACACTCGAATGGAATGGAATGGACTGATGTTCTTTCTTTGTACTGTGAGGTTTTGTTCTCAATCTAGTCAGTACTAGTTACTCACTAGATAAAGTCAGTTACTTAAATAAAAATGTATGTCTCTAAGTCTTTGTACATTTCAGGGGTTGTAAACTCATGATGTCTTAGCTTTCTGCCATAAGGTTTACCTGAGTTTCATAATAGTTTTCAATCCTACATTTCTTTCCCCTAGGCAGCAGTCCTGGAGCTGTTCAGTGGAATCACACCTTTCTCTTCTTCCTTTTTAAGCTGTCAGCCCCTGTTCATTTTCACACTGAACTTCTTAAATAACACATTTAGCTTCTATTTCTCTATGCCTTCAACCGTCTTCATTATATAATTTAATTTGTCCTGGACTTTGGTAGTTCCATTCCTATTTCTGTTACTTACTAGCTGTGTGATCAAGCGCAAGTCTCTTAAATCTCTAGGCCTCAATTTTCTCATTTCTGAAATGAGGGTACTTTATTAGACGCTCTGAAGCCCTTTCCAGCTGTAACATTCTATGAATCTGTGGTCCCTGCAGGAACCAAGGAGGATTATGCTACGCTAATAAAAAGCTACTTTCAATAGGGACATATAGATTCCTTAATTTGCTTGTGACCCTTTTAGTCTGACTCTCCAAGTCTACCTGGAAGAAGAAATTACCTTTTCCTTGAATTCTCTAGCACAGGGTGTGTACCTAAGCCATGAGCTTTCTGTAACTTGTGTTTTCCCTAGTATGCAAGGTTCACTCTCAAAGAGGAAATATCAGAAACTCACCTTGTCTATAACTGCCCCTGTACAATGCTTTAAATGGGTTTGTATGTGTGTGTGTGTAAAATAGCTTTCGTGTTTTCATCATACTGCCCATTAGGAGTTTGTAAAAGGAACACTACTATGTCAAGCAATTTAGACTCCACTATCCATTTTCCTAGAAATGGGAGATATGATACATGTCTTTAAGTACTTAACAGACTGTCATATGAAATAAGGGTTAGATTCACTTTTTTATTCCAGAAGACAGAACTCAAGTGAGCGGGATAGAAGTTGCACAGTGCACAGTCTCCACTAATGTGAGCTAATGCTCTAGCAATTAGATTCGTCTGACAATTGGAATAACCTGCCTTGAAAGCTAGAGAGCTTCCCCTCATAGGAAAGGTACAGGCATTCGCTAAAGAATCATCTGTTAACAGCACTGAAGAAATTTCTACACTTCTGGTATATGGACAAGATGACTCGTAAAGTCTCTTTCAACTTTATTATTGGAAATTCCCATAAGTCATCTGACAGTTGTTTTTTTTTTTTAAAGACTTTGTCCCTCAAAATCCTTTATATTGATTATAGAGCACTTCAGATTTTTTTTTTAACTAAGGAATTTTGGTCTTTGACGAAAGAGGCCTGAAAATAAGAAACTACGTTTATTCTTTCTAGAGAAATCTGTAACTGGTCACTAACAAATTTTCATAATGAAAAATGTAAAGCCTATAATGTATTATGTAACTCTCCCTTTGCTCTTGGATCAATTTGTATTCCTCTTTCTTTTTATCAGTGGAAGACTCTATGAAGTGGTTTTAAACTCAAGTGTGTTACTCTTTAATACCCACAGAAATGCCAGAGCAAGAGAGGCAAATTTGCTGTCATTTATTTGTGCTACATCCTCTGTTTCTTATGTTGCTCCTTAATGCAAATTATGGAAGTAATTGTGAAACAGACCTTAAAATGTTGAGCTAAGATTTTTTTTATCAGCCTGCAGCTGTTTTATTTTTCTATTATCTAGTCTCTCAGTGTGATTTGTCAAATGTTTTTCCCTTCTCCTACTTCTGAGAACTTTGTTTTAGTACAATATGAATCAACATCTGGTAGCTTTAAGATTATATCTTTGTTGGACAGCTGCCTTAATTTGTTGACCAAAAGAACAAGTCGTGAATTCAGAGATGGATTATAAGCTGCTCTTACCAGCATCTGAAAGCCCATCAACTGTCTAAAGAGTATTGAAGAGTATGGGTAAGAAGGTACATGTGTGTGTGTGTGCACATGTGTGTTAAGAGTAAGATTTGGACACACTTCCTCAAGGTTGAAGATTTGTTAGCAGTCTTAACTATCTCCTCCACCAAGGGATGACAGTGCAGAAACAGCTGAGCTATTCCTGTTTTCAGATGTAAGGACTAAAGCAGTCTTTTACAAATGGTAACTGTCTCAAAACAAAATTTACCCTCATGTGGCAAATTCTCTTGGGATATCTCTTGGTGTGGTGGCCTTGTGATCTGTAGAGAGATATTTCGCTCTGCCTTCTGTTGTTCTCCTTTCTTCTTTCTCATCTCAAAAGATATTAGACTGAGTCTTCTGGTATTAGATGTACTTAAAGAGATGTGTAAGCCAAGCTGTTGTTCAGCGTGACCCTTTCCTAGTATCTATTTATATTTTCTCACAAGAATGTATATTTTCTAGAGCATGTGTTTATCTACTTGCTTTTGTCTACTGTAAGATGTCTCCAATAAAGCGAAAATACAATACTCCTTTCTGGTCTTCTCTCACCTAAATAAAGCACAGAGGTGAAATGGTGCATTTTAAAGCTTTTGGTCTGGTTGAGAGGGTCTCCAAATAGCTTTCCATATTAATATGGGACGTGCTGCTTTTCTCTGGTTCCTGCCATGTGAAGAGACATGTCCTGCCTTGAATCTGCCCCCTGGCCATGCCTTGCAGTTTTATGCAGCTCCAGGACAGGAGTGCCCTTGGGTGCTAAACGTAACCTGACGTGCAGAAAACAAGACACTAAATGGATCATTAGAAAATTGGTGCTTCCTGCAAAGGGAAAAAAAATAATTGAAGGGAATGTTTCCTAATCAAAGGTTTGGTAAATCAACAATATTTGAAGACTGTCAGTACGCTGGTTAATTTCCACATTGCCCCACCTTAGGGACCTTTTTCTTTTTCTTTTAAGCTGTCAGGTTCTTGCAGGAGTCCTAGTATTAACCCCATTGTGAACCTCTGCTCTGCTACACATTGTTACTACTGGTGGGACACTTAATTTCGACTCTTAACAACATGTATATTGGACAGATTTAGTAGCTATGGAAACTGGCTAAATGAGGTTACTTACCTAGTGTCAAAAAGCTTTTAGACAATACAGTCAGGATTTGAATCCAGATTTTGACTCGAGTTCAGTTCTGAGCAATTTGTCTAGAAACATTTGAATAAAATCCTCTGTACACTGGTTATTGTCCAATGTGGTGAAAATTCGGACAGCATGCCCCCTGAAAGCTATTTACAAGATTTCTGAAAGCAGATGACCATTTTCTTGTAGAGTGGAATGTAGAAAAATGCCAATGCTGTATTCCGATTGGCTCAAATTTTGTTCATTTTGGATTGGAACTTGGTAGGGCTTAAGTAACAACATTCTGCTGAGTTATGAAAGATATTTCTCCAGTCACATTTCTAGCTTGTGACCCAGTTAAGCTGTCTGAAATGCAGGGCTATTTGCCAATGACTATGTAGTGCTTTTTTTTTTTTTTTTTTTTTTTGGGGGGGGGACACAAATGCTGTTGTTTTTATTGTGAATTATATGATAGTTTACATGGAAGAACATTAGCTTTACATTCATCCTATCTTAGTTCCTTTCATTGCAATGATTACAATCTCTTGCATGCATCATCAAACGACCAAAGGGTACACACCTCAAGTCTGCCCCTCTGGCCTTCAACACATAGCTCCTCTCCCTCCCTGACTCTAAAGTCTCCAACCAATCCATCTCTCCATGTCTCTGCCTCCATCTCTGGAGTCACTGCTTATCTGGATAGGGTCCCACACTTCGCTTTTCTCCTTTGATGGTTCCAGGGACCTCCGCTCCTGGACTGCAAAATCTACCACTCCCCTCCTTTTGTTACAAAACGTCTACCTTTACCTTTCTAATATTCACAGTCAGTCCTGATAGCAATCATTCCCTATTGAACCACGAGAGTCTCATCCCATCTCTTTTCATCAGCCGTGTCCAGACAGGTTGGGAACGACTCTGGAGATTCTGCATTTCCCGGCACCCTCTGGAACTAGGTTCCCTATTGAAAGCTTGTAAACCAGTCACTACTTTGTAGCCCCCCTCCCCCAATTTGGGGTAGCCAATGGCTGTTGCCCATCTGTGTTGACCCTGTGTACCAAGGGGGTGGGAATGATCCTCACTGTAAAGACCTATGCATCAACAAGCATAGGTCAAGTTCATCAAATTGCAGTGGGTTACTCTTTTTTTTCCCTCTTTTCTTCCTCTAGTTGATTTCTGATCATCCAGCCATTGAAGCCAGGCCAAGTGGGTACGATCTGCA